CGCGCGTCATAATCGACTGATGACCTGACGCTCGTCATGGTCGACTGATGACCTCTTGACGTGGGTTATGGTCAGCTGATGACCTCAGTGATTAGGTAATCACTGACGTATCGGGGTCAGGTTTCAGTCCCATTTAAAATAGTATTAAGAGCAAGAGAGCTCTGTGGACCTCTAAGGAACCTCTATACTCTCGTACAGTCTTAAAATTTATTCTCGTCACTCAATAACTCCAACAGAGAGAGGAAAGGTAGAAAGATACAGTATTTCTTAGTCACAGCACAGACCTGGAAGTGAAGGCAACACCGGTGGTTCAAACACGCAAGTAGAAACATGCATCTCTGAGTTACAACATACACCTAGAAGTACAATGAAAGCTTCTACATCAGTGGTACACAATACCGACAAGATGAAGAATTAAACACATGTACATCTGGGTAACTTATTTGTCGACATTTCACCATTCAGTGGCTTTATCAATACAAATTCAAGGACAATGGGTAGACTGTAGAACTATATACAAAAGACGAGGTAATTAGTCCCTCAACCTTGGAGTTTGTGAAGAGTACTTTAGTCTTCAAGACTACGGTACTCTTAACCACCTCTAAGGCTGAGGGACTGAGTACCTCATCTTTTGTATATAGTTCTACAGTCTACCCATTATGTCCTTCAATTTGTATTGATAAAGCCATTGGATGGTGCAACGTCTACAAATAAAGTTACCACGATGTTGCACATGTGTCTAATTCTTCACGATGAAAGCTTGCCTATACTGTCTGTCACCTGGTGACAACGTAGAGACACGTCTCAACGCTACAGCACACCGCTACACTCTTCCCAGCGCTCCAGTTTATCACTTCACAAACACACCCACATACGATAATGACATCAGTTTTTTTTCAGGATGCGTGTTCCTTTCCCATGAAAAGTACGCTTTACTGAACCTTTCCCATGAAACGTGTCTTTCTGAACCCTTAACATGAAAAGTATACATTTATGAATCGTTAACATGAAACGTGTATCTTTCTGACCTTTTGAGAGGAAAAGTATGCCTTTTTGAACTTTTTCTATGAAGCGTTTGCGTTTCTGAACTTTTTCTATGAAGCGTTTGCGTTTCTGAACTTTTCCCATGAAGCGTTTGCGTTTCTGAAGTTTCCCCATGAAGCGTTTGCGTTTCTGAACTTTTCCCATGAAGCGTTTGCGTTTCTGAACTTTTCCCATGAAGCGTTTGCCTTTCTGAGCCTTTCCAATCGACAGTTCGTCCGATTCCCGTTAGAACTCAGGAGACGAGATCAGGTTTCAATCCTTAATTAGTCAATGGTGCCCTAGTTATCGCACTATATATATGGCGCAATAAAAGATTAAATTCCCTTCACCATTCCCGTCACGGCTGTAAAGCCAACACGGAAAAAAATACTTTAATCAATGCACGCGAAATTCAATTACACTCACTGTGAGAGGCGAGAGGCCAGGCATTGAATCACACACACGCACGGGGAAGCAAGCATTGGTTCAAACACCATACACAGTATCAGGTGTAAGTATGATAGGGGAGTTCTGAAGACAAGGAAACCGTAAAGCCAGTTGATAAGAGTTCGAAGACGGGGGCAGGAGCTATCATTCAACCCCGGCAAACACATCGAGACGAGTACAACTGGGTGAACATAGGCATTAACATACGTGGTCACTATGAGTGACCCTAACACAGACACAGGCACACACAGACACACACAGTCCGGAGAGTGATATAGTAGAGGCAGGATCCACAAATAGCTTTAAGAAGAGGTACGATAAAGCTCTTGGAGCAGGGACATAGTGGACCTAGTAGCGATCAGCGAAGAGGTGGGGCCAGGAGCTGTGAATCGACCCCTGCACCACAAATAGGTGAGTACACACACACACACACACACACACACGTTCTCGTAAACGTATACTGTGAAACATTCATATAATAAGAGCAATAAAAGATAGCGACTAAGATAGAGTAATACTGGCAGTGTTGGTGTGTAGTAAGAGGATCAAAGGCATGAATTATCCAGGTGTTTGTTGCTTAGCGATGTTGTCTTCGTCGCTAGAGGTCGATACACATTATGCAAATGAGTGTGTATTGATGACTTGTGTGGCTGTGCACTAGGTGAGTGACCCCTGTTGGGTCACTCACCTAGTGTACAGTTGTAGAGTGTGTGCACTCACCTAACTGTGGTTGAAGAGGTCGAATCTCAGTTCCTGGCCCTGTCTCTCTGTTGGCCGCTACTGGTTTTACTCTCCTTGCTAAGTGAGTCCTATCATACCAGTTTTAAAGGCTACGTATGGATTAACAATACCACGGGTGGGGTTAGAACCCCTCGATCAGAGAGTCTCAAAAATTCAGACCGTCGCGACGGTCTGGGGTTTTGAGACTCTCTGATCGCGGGTTCTAACCCCGCCCCATGGGATGGTTTGTTTGCAATCGTGTCATTACGATTTCGTGAATCGAGCTACGTATGGATTCTTTATGTGTGTGTGTGTGTGTGTGTGTGTGTGTGTGTGTGTGTGTGTGAGGAGAGAGAGAGAGAGAGAGGAGAGAGAGAGAGAGAGAGAGAGAGAGAGAGAGAGAGAGAGAGAGAGAGAGAGAGAGAGAGAGAGAGAGAGAGAGAGAGAGAGGGTGGGGGTAGCTCACAACACAAGTGTTTCATGATCACAACAATCACCGTCACAGGTTTCCAGAAATGCGCAGAAGAAAGAACTCAGCAGTCTGACTCACTTCCGGTCATCTTTAATTTCCCCCGCAAGTGGTTCAGTCCGCCACCGTGAAGGATTTCACCGCCGCGTTCACTACTGAGACGTTTCGCTCTCCAGGAGCTTGGCTTGACAAAGCTCCTGGAGAACGAAACTTTACCACAATAAAATGTCACTAGTTGCGTCTGTGTCCATTTACCTAATATTTTGTCGGTATTCTATCATTATTACATCGACTGGTAAAACACTGGACCGCGAGTGTAGGACACAGGATCGAGCCTTCATCAGGATACGAGGATTTAGCACATCAATTTTTAAACGCTTACCAAACCCTTAAAAAAGTTACTCAGAGTATAGTTATAAATGATGACGTCATCTTGTTACAGAATCTTCGTAAAATAATGATTACGTCATTTTGCTGTAGCACCTTCATAAAATAATGATGTCATCTTGTTATAGCATCTTCATAAAAATAATGATAATGCCACCTTCTTACAGCATCTTAATAAAGATGAAGATATTATCCTGATGTATCATCATGATGCTATAAAGTTACTTGCGTAATTTATATGCGTACTGTTGTACCTCGGATGTACCCAACCCCGTGAACTGAAGATGTGTTGCCAAAAGCCACGACACAACAACCCCGTGAAACTGACGTTGTGTGGCCACAGCCACGACACAACTCATGATGGAAATGGCGCTAGGTTTTTGTGGAAAGTAATAATTTTGTTTACTGGCGTATTAATTAGGTCAAAGGGACGTATTCATCATACGTATTTCATTAGGGCCCACAATTCCCCTTTTACAAGAATACTTCATTGTCTTCAGCAGATATTGCGCTCAGTCCATATACACTGCGAGGTATACAACTTTCGGTGTGCATACACATGATATATGCACCGTTTGGTGTATATACACAGGATATATACACCTGTGTGTGTTGCTCGTACTGTCATAGTACTGAGCAACTACACTCCCATGATGAAAGCTTGTTCCATACACGTTCATGGAAACTAGTTGTTACGACTTTGATGTTGTAACTTGAATAAAATGTTCAAGGCTTTACCTAAAGGCTGCTCACACTGCTATGTCACTGCGTAACACTGGTGTTAGGATTTAACACACACACCTGCAGCTGATAACACGGATGTTAAATCGTTCGAATGATGGATTAGTAAGAATAAATAGTAAAAATGATCATGCGGGAAGAGGAAGAGATGGAGGAGGAGGAGGAGGAAGTGAAGTACGGTTGGAGAATTTGGAATTTCAAGGGGGAGAGGGGGAAGGGAGGAAGGGAGGAGGAAGGGAGGGGAAAAGGGGGGGGGAAGGGAGGGGGAGGGAAGGGAAGGGGAAGGGAGAGAGGGGAAGAGAGAGAGAGAGAGAGAGGAGAGAGAGAGAGAGAGAGAGAGAGAGAGAGAGAGAGAGAGAGAGAGAGAGAGAGAGAGAGAGACCATCAGCATTACTCTCTCAGCTTCCGCCACTGTGAAAATCCCTCACTCATTTTTGTGGAAAAAAGTTTTTGGATATTACGCGCGATTTTTTTCCTTAAACAATGAAATCTATTTTTTGGGGGGACCAAAAATATTGCCTTGCAGGCTCATGCAACCTCACTGAATTATTCATGAGGCTAAAATTAGTTTTTGGTAGAGCACTTGTAAAAAAAAAAACACACAAGGTATGCCAGCAACATTACTGGAAATAGCCGGTCGAACCACAGCGCCCTCTCTCAAGGTATTAATAACTTTTATATGTAGTAAGGAACCGTTTGTTGTGGTGTTACTAATGTTTGTTGTGACAAGGTGTTACTAATGTTGTGACAAGGTGTTACTAACGTTTGTGGTGTTACTAATGTTGTGACAAGGTGTTACTAACGTTTGTGGTGTTACTAATGTTGTGACAAGGTGTTACTAACGTTTGTGGTGTTACTAATGTTGTGACAAGGTGTTACTAACGTTTGTGGTGTTACTAATGTGACAAGGTGTTACTAACGTTTGTGGTGTTACTAATGTTTGTGACAAGGTGTTAATAACGTTTGTGACAAGGTGTTACTAATGTTTATTTTGACAAGGAGTTACTAACGTTTGTTGGATGTAACCAACGTTATAACATTATTATTATCGTCATCATCATCATATTATCAGTATTACTAAAATAAGAGGAATACAAAAGAAGAAAATATTCCAATCAGTAAGAAAAATAAAATACAAGCAAGTTGTAGGGACGAGTAACCAGAGGTAATAAGAATGGTGAAGCAGCAGCAGCAGCACAGCGAAGATACTCAC